CCCCAACCCACCCGGGACACATCCCAGACCCCCCTCAACCCACCCGGGACACATCCCAGACCTCCCCCCAACCCACCCGGGACACATCCCAGATCCACCCTCCAACCCCCCCGGGACTCATCCAGGGGCAGGACGGAAGCGTCGGAAGCTGCCGGTGGCCGATACGCGGCCGCCGCTCACCATCTGCCGCAGGGCCTTGGAGTCCTTGGCGCGGGCGAAGGCGCGCTCGGGCGCCCAGCGCGGCGCCAGCCCCTCGGCCGAGTTGGCGCGCGCCCGCTGCAGCTTCGCCAGGATGGCCTTCTCCTCCTTCTGCAAGGCGGGGGACGCACGGCCGTGAGCCGGGCGTGGGGGGCACGCGGCGCCCCCGGCGCGCCCGCCCCGCGCACCCGCTTCTGGCTGCAGCCCACGATGAGGAAGGTCTCGATGTTGTGCTCCTTGAGGTAGGCGTTGCGCTCGCCGCCGTGGCCCGGCTCCACCTCGTAGTCGCCGTTGAGGTACTGCAGCGTGGCCCACGTGATGTGGATGCGCCTGCGGGCGGAGGCGGGGATGGCGCTGAGCCCCCCGAGCCCGGCCCGCGCGGCCCCCTTCCCCGGGCGCCCTCTTACCCGGCCTTGCCGCCCGCTTCCATGTGGTTGGCCAAGGTCACGTCGTTGGACCACACGTCGAACTGCCACTTGCGCAGCCCCAGCACGCCGCAGTGCACCCGCCCGCTGTGGATGCCCACACGCATGTTCACGTTCACCCCCGTCACCTCGCGCACCAGCCTGCGGAGGGGCACGGGCACCGCGTCACCCTGCCGGCCGCGGCGCCCACGGGGTGGGCATGGCCTCACCTAGGCCATGCACAACCCAACTGGGACCATGCACAACCCAACCGGGGCCATGCAGGGGCACCCGGGATGGGTATGTCTTCACCTCGGCCATGCTCAACCCAACCGGGGCCATGCACAACCCAACCACTGCCATGCACAACCCAACCAGTGCCATGCATGGGCACCCAGAATGGATATGCCCTCACCTGGGCTATGTACAACCCAACCGGGACCATGCACAACCCAACCGGGACCATGCATGGGCACCTGGAATGGATATGCCCTCACCTGGGCCATGCACAACCCAACTGGGGCCATGCATGGGCACCTGGGATGAGTGTGTCCTCACTTGGGTCATGTACAACCCAACCAGGACCACGCACAACCCAGCTGGAACCATGCATGGGCACTCGGGATGGGTATGTACTCACCTCGGCCATGTACAACCCAACTGGGACCATGCACAACCCAACCGGTGCCATGCACTACCCAACCGGTGCCATGCATGGGCACCCAGAATGGATATGCCCTCACCTGGGCTATGTACAACCCAACCGGGGCCATGCACAACCCAACCGGGGCCATGAATGGGCACCTGGCATGGATATGCCCTCACCTGGGCTATGTACAACCCAACCAGGGCCATGCACAACCCAACCGGGGCCATGCATGGGCACCTGGAATGCCCATATGGATATGCCCTCACCTGGGCTACGTACAACCCAACCAGGGCCATGCATTGGCACTTGGGATGGGTATGTCCTCCCCTGCACTACACGCAACCCAACTAGGGCCATGCACAACCCAACCAGGGCCATGCACCACCCTACTAGGGCCATGCATGGGCACTGGAGACATGCACAACCCAACCAGGGCCAAGCACAGCACATGCACGGGCATCAGAGACATGCACAACCCAATCCAACTGGGGCCATGCACAACCCAACTGGGGCCACGCATGGGCACCTAGGATGGCTCTGTCCTCACCGGGGCCATGTACAACTCAACTGGGGTCATGCATGGACATTATAGATGCATACAACCCAACCAGGGCCATGCACAACCCAACCAGGACCACGCATGGGTACCCGGGATGGGCACATCCTCATTGGGGTCATGCACAACCCAACGCGACCCAACCAGCTCCACGCACCAGGAACATGCACAACCCAACCGCCGTTGCGCCAGTGCCGGGAACGCGCACAACCCAACCGGGGCGGTGCCCCACTCACGAGATGGCCTCGATCATGTCCACCCCCATCTCCACGCAGCAGTGTGCGTGGTCCCCGCGCGCCTCCGGCAGCCCCGACACACAGTAGTAGCAGTCGCCCAGGATCTTGATGCGCAGGCAGTGGTTCTCCTGCACGGTGGGGACAGGCGGATAGACGGGAAGGTCCAAGGGGGCCACCGGGGCCACCCCATGGCCACGTGCTCACCGCCGCCAGCTTGTCAAAGCGCGCAAAGAGCTCGTTGAGCGTCATGACGAGCTCCTGCGCCGTGCACTGCGACGCCAGGCTGGTGAAGCCCTCGATGTCCGCGAAGAGGATGCTGTGAGCACGGAGAGCGCGGGATGGACGGGGACATCACCCTTAGCCCGTCCCCTCCACCAGACAGACCCCCCTCCACCCGCCCTACCTGACGTTGTCGTGCTTCTGGATGTAGATCTTGTGGAACATCATGTCCTCCTTCTTGGTGTTGATGTCCTCCTTCATCTCCATGGCCACGTGCTGGGGCAGCACGGAGAGCAGCAGGCGCTCCTGCGCGCCGGCCGCCCCGTGAGCGGCGGTGCCGCAAGCCGGGGGTCCCGGCGGGGCGGGGGGTCCCCGGGGGGCCGCTCACCTGCTGCCGGTTCTCCCGCTGCAGGTGCAGGCGCGCCTGGATGTAGCCGCGCGTCTCCTGGAAGGCCTGGCGCTGCGACACCTCGGCCGGGTAGTGCGTGCACACGCCCAGCACGTTGGTGCACAGGAAGATGAGGGCGTTGGCGCCCAGCTGCGGGCGGACGGGGGGGTCAGCACCGCATGGACCCCCCCCCTCACCGGGCACTGCAGCCACCCGCCGGACACGGGAGCGGGAAGGGGGGGAACCCGGGGGGACAAAGGGACATGAGGGATCACATGGGCTTGGGAGAGGGGGACGTGTAGGGATTCAAGTAAGGAGAAGTGGGCATTAAGGGGACAAGGGGGCCTGGGACAGGGCGGGACGTGGAGACTAAGGGCAAGGAGACCTAGGGACCATGGGGACGTAAAGGAGACACGAGTACCTGGGACAGGGGGACGTAGGGACCATGGCAGGGAGCCATGGGGACATAAGGAGACCTAGGGAGCTGGAGCCGGAGGACGAGGGGGGCGTGGGGCAGCAGGGCGCTGTGGGGCACAGGCACCCGGGCAGGACAGGGGGGCACTGGGGCCACGGGAGCGAGGGGTGGGCGCCCCGGGCCGGGCCCTGGGCAGCGGAGGAAGCCCGGGGAGGGCCGGGAAGCGGCGCCCGCGGCTGCGGTTTCCCCTCCGCGTCCCCATCCCTCGGGAGCGGGGCCAGGGCTATTAATAGGCAGCTCCCAGTGCCAGGCCCCCCCCGTGCCGCCGGGTCGGGCGCATCCTGCGGCTCCCGCCGCCCGGCCGGGCCGAGGGTGCCCGGCGGGCGGCACGTGGCCCCGCGCCGCCGCCCGGGCCGAGGGTGCCACCGGGGCCACGCAATGCGGCTCCGGAGCGGCCCCGGGGTCCTGCTCGCGCGTGGGCATCGCCGCGCGCCCGGGCTCGGCGCCCGCGCGGCACGGGGTCCCGGCCCCCCTGCGCGGGCGGGGGCTTCCGCAGCCCCACAACGGGGGCTTTGTGGGCGCCCCCGCAGCGGCCACAATGCAGGGCTTGTGCGCGGCCCCCGGCGAGGAGGGGTCCTGACCCCCCGGCCGGGCCCGCGGGACCCCCCCTTCCACCAGCACCCGGGCGGAGGAGGAGAAGCAGGGAGCCCGGAGCCCTTCCGGCTCCAGAAGTTTCCAGAGGCCAATAAATAAATAAATAAACAAAAAGCAGAGAGTAAAAGAGAAAGAGGAAAAGAAAAAAGAAGTGCAGAAAAGGGAATTTTGCAAATTCCACCATTGCTGACCCCGGCGGGGCCGGGTCCCTACCTGCTTCCAGACGAAGGGGTCGGCGGCGTTGCGGTGCCAGGAGATGCCAAGGTGCAGGGCGGAGAGCAGCGCGCCGGCCAGCACGGCCGCCCGCATGCGCACGGGCAGCAGCGTGTAGGCGATGAAGATGAAGAAGACGCTGGCCCAGACGCCCTCGGCGGCGCTGCGGGGCGCCGCGGCCAGCGCGCCCACGGCCTGCACGGCGCCCAGCAGCGCCAGCACCCCGTAGCTCACGAGCCCCATGTAGTCCTGCGGGAAGGCGCTGCGGCTGCACAGCACGAGCAGCAGCAGGAAGAGCCCCGTGGCGCCGGCGAGCACGGCGGCGGCGGGCACGGGCGGCGAGCCGGGCGCGCACTGGAAGACCAGCAGCACGGCGCACACCAGCACCAGCACCCCCATGAGCACCGTGAGGCTGCTCTGGTTCATCTGGAAGAAGTAGCGCTGGTAGAGGCGCTCCAGCTTGGCCGACTGGAAGCGCTTGGAGCGGAAGACCTGCAGCACCCGCCGGCGGCACTCGCCCGCCGACAGCCGCCGCGACGCCTCCTTGGGCGCCTTGGCCTCGCCGCCCTCCGTGCCCGGCTCGGCCGGCCGTGCCGGGGGCTCCGCGCCCTTCTTGCCGTAATGGTCCTCCTGCCAGGTGCAGCGCGGCCCCGCGGGCCGCTCCATGTCAGGGTCCTGCAGGCAGCTCACGTAGCGGGTGCCGCAGAGGGCGGCGCGCGGGCGCTGCTGCCCCTTCTTGCCGTTGCGCTCGCCCCATGCCGTCTTGCGCTCGTCCACCTTGGGCACCAGGATGCCGCTGAACCACGACATGCTGTGGGCAGGGGGCAAGCGGGGGCTCAGCGCGCGGGCCACTGCTTTGGGGCCTGTCTCCGAAGCATCGCCCGCCCTGCAGGGTGCAGACCCCAAAGGTGCCCCCCAACAAGGCTCTGTATGGGGCAGCCCCTGCCTGCACCACAGACCCCAGCCCCACGGCCCTGCCCTCCCCGCGCCAGCCCCACGGAGGTGACACCCAGTTCCCGGTGGGGAGGACAGGGGACACCCAACAGCGGCAGCCGCTCCGAGCGGATCCGCGGCCTCCGGCGCCGAGGCTTGAGCAACCTCCGGCTTCGCAGCTCTGTTTGTCTTGAACGGCGGCCAAGGGGCTCCGCCGCGGGCCCCGGGGGCACCGGGCGGGACGTGGCAGCCACGCGGGGCGCCCGGGGCACCGGAGCCTCCCGGGGCCCGGCCCGGCCCCGC